GGAATGAAAATACATGTCTTTCCAGTCTTTGTGATTTTCTTGTTCCTGACATTTGAGTCAGCTTTGACACATTGAAAGTAGCAGCATCTCCTGAAAGACAGGCAATGAGAGTAAGAGCAACTTTGAGCTTTCTCTCTACCCCCGCTCTTCTCTCTCCTGAAGAAGTACATGCCAAAATGTTTGGCATGGCCTAGTAATGTATTTTTCGAGAGGCTGGAAAATCTGATTCAGATAATGTAAGTATTAAGAGCAAAAGTGGATATTAGGAGTGCAACTGGCCACAGGAAAAAAAAAAATTGAAATGCTTCAAGGAGTAAAATATGTTTCAATGAATGATTTCTTTAAAGAGGAGTAAGGTAAAAAACTAAATTATTCCTGTTCGCCTTTGTATGTGTGTAATTAATTTGGTATTTGAAGGTAGGCTCTTTTCATTGTTTTACTACTCAGTGCAGCACTCAATATAGGCTTCTGACTATGAAGGAAATACTTCCATAGCTGTTCTCAGCCACATTGGTGAAACGATGGGCTCCACTGCACTGAAGGTGGACAATTTCTGTGCTGCTATATATCCCTTCAACAGTGAAAACTGATTAAAACATTTTCTTCAAATAATGAACTATGGCGTGTTTTGACAAACAGGTCTTAAAGCTGCATGTATCAAGTTAACTCTTTCTTTAACCTTGATTTAGCTTTCTTGAGGTATGAATCCAGTGGAAAATAACCTGTGTGTAGCCTTTGCCAGAAAGATTATTTTAAAAGTAGTTGTGGGAGGCTCCAGATGTAGTACGAATCACTACCTGCCCGTAAGCAAGTCAGAAGGTGGCAGCAGTGAGAGATAGTGCAGGTGTGGCGTTAACCTTACTAGGTATAAAGCTTGTTGGATCTCTGCTCCAAAGGTCTTAGATAACCGTAAGCCACTTGACCGTTGTGTTTTCCTTTTTCATCTGAAAACGAGGGAAGTAATAGTACTGCAACAGAATGTAGGAGCATTCCGAGGGTAAATACATAGGTTATTCACCTGCTATGGTAATGTAATCCCATCAATAATTTATACAGCGAAGCATTTCATCAGGGTGCATTAGAGAAAGCCAGTACTTTCTAAGAAGGAAGAACAACAAACTGCTAAACTGCAGAAGCAGTAACATTGCCCCACAGTCTGATCATTATGGAATACCATAATTTTGCATACTGGAAAATAAATACTGGGCTCAGAGACTGACTTGGTGAAGTTTTCATACCAGAACTGACGGAACCAGATTGACCTATGATGGCTGTGTTCCTGTTGCATCTGTGGTATGAGAAGGGAAAGCAAGGATAGCAGAGATGGCATCTTGACATCTGGATAATGTTGGGAATAGGTTGGAAGTTTTAGGGAAATATTTAGGCAGAAATCAGTAAAACCTACGTCTATCCTACTGTGTTCTTTTTGCTCTGTAGCACTGTACAGTTGGCTTAAAAAACAGGCTACAGGTTTCTTGCTTTGCCATGTGTCCCTTGTTCCTATTAAAGTGGCAGTTTCTCTCCATCTAGCACCTCCTGTCTCGCTCTGAGTGGTGTAGGCACCTTACCCCAAAACACTGTGGGTTCATTCACTGAATGTCTTGAGGCATGTCGCCTGCCACTCCTTACTGTGTCTAGCAGTGTAGCTGGCTTTGGGCTGCTGCCCTTTTCTAAATTCTTAGTTGCAGAGCTAAAACAGAGGTTTGGTTCACATTGCATGTACTCCAAGAAATTTTTTCCTCATCTCCCAGCTCCACTGTTTAGTTTAAATCATCCCATTTCTGTCTTTCAATTGTTCTTTCAGCCATACTCCATTTATTTTCCTGCACCTTCATTGTCAGGGTTATGGCGAGGTGTGGGGCAGTGGTATAGCTGTTGTCCCTTGGGTTTTTTGGAGCTTCACTAGAATTCAGTTAAGCCTTTTCTTGCATGAATTTTGGAGAGGAAGGATGAATTCTGTCTATCTAGAAAACTGTTGATATTCTTTCCATTTAAAAATACTGTTGTTTTGGGGCTCTGATTAACTTTTTTTCTGCTATCTGCCATCTCAGCTATTATATTTAATTACTACTTCCATTTTATTTATTCATTTAGATACTATAATATGACAGAGTATTTCTTTAAACTGAGAGTGAAGAATTTGGGTAAAAATGGAAGAAAAATAATTTCTCCTGATATCAGGCAGTCATGCTACTATCCAGTTGTTGTTCTGGGTCAAATTATTTATTCTGTCATCTTCCTCTTCCTCTTCGAATGTTCTCCAGACCTCAGTCCCTTGAAGATTACACCCGTTCCGGTTTCTCTTGAGTTCCTCGTTTTGATGGCACTTCTTGTGAACACCCAGAGATTTCCATCCTTATTTGCTCTGCTGCTTGTTGCTGTTGCCAGGGTTCCCATGATATGTTGCTTTCTAGTATGTGACTACTGCTCCTCTAGTCTTTCTTGCTAAACTGTTTGGCTTGATACAGAATCCATTTCAGGATTAATTTCTCAGAACAATCTGGGATTTCTCAAATTCAGCTTGTTTTTTTTCTTCCTAAAAGTCATTCTTCCTCAGGAGAAACAAAAGTATTTCTGATTTGCTAAATAGGAGAAACAGTAATTGTTTCCTACGTGAGATCCCTGCTAACTGTGGTCTACAACTCTGTGATGAGTTACTATCCTGACTTGTTTATGGAATAAACCAAATGTGAGAGTTCCTTAGGTAATTGTACTGGAACACTAATGTTAAGGATTAGCAATGTTTAAATATTGCACAAATAGTAGATATTAGAAGGCAGAATCTTTTTTTCTTTTATTGAAAATAATTATTTCCCAATTTCTGTGGTTCTATACTGCTTGTATCTGTAACAAGTATTCCAATTGCAAACAAGTTATCTCTGAGTTGTTTCAATGCTGATTTCAAAGTTCATTTTTTTCTTAGAAGTAACCCATAGCGCTGTAGGGCATGTCTGTGAAGACCCAGCCGTTGGAAACTCTTGCACTACTTAAAAGAAAAAAATAATATTAAAACTTATATATATTAAAAAAAAAAAAGTTGAATGGCTACAAATTTATGGTAGTGGTACCTCATATGTTAACAGTTGCCTGCTGTGCTTATTTTTCTACAGAAATTCTTACAGAAATCTAACTTCTGTGTCAAGATCTTGTTCAACAAAATGGTTTCATTTGTCTTCCCTCCATCTTTTTTATAAGTTCTTCATATTTGCTTTCATCACTTGTCTCATTCTAGCACACTACTTCAGTGTTTGTTGTTAACATCTTCTTTCTCTGCAGTCTGTCTGGAGGTGAGAATCCAATACATAATAAAATAGTCAAAATCCTGCAGTTGTGCAGTCTTGTAATATTCTGCTAAGTGCTGATGTATTCTGAAGCTTGTTTTGTATTTGTTCTGTAATATATGATAATGCACATAAATAAGAGCCCTAAAATTTAAAGTCCTATGTTAAAGAATAGATGCAGTTTGGAGAACAACAGTTTGTTATCGTGTGCTTCTGTGCTCTGCAGCACGGGGAATTTGATCTCCGTGGTAAAAGATGGTGTTTCACCCTGACCTAATGCTCTCAGCTTTGCTAAAACTGCCCAGAAGAGTCTGATTGTGGTTGGCTTCCTTATGATCGAGGCTTTTCCCTTTGGAAGCTCTAACCAATTGCCAAATTCAATCTCTGTGGGTGACCAAAGCTTCAGTCACAATCTTGGCTTGTTCTCAAAAAAGCTCAAATAACATTGTGTACATAAAAGTTTAACAGCTAAGGTGTCCAGTAACTACCCGTTTCCATGGCTTATCTCTAGATCCCTACTGAAAATAGAGCCTTCACGGAAGGCACCAACATATTTCAGTGGTTAGCTGTAAGTGAATCGTGTTTTGTTTGCCTATAGGTAAATATTTCTTCACACACAAAAAAGATCAAATATCACACTTATCTTTTGGTGGGTTTATGAGTACCAAGGATGCCAGTCCCACCCTAGACAGACCCATCGGTTTTCAATAACTAGTTGAGTAACTGGTTGCCTTTGGAAAATCACTCTGATTTAGCTGTTTCAGAGTATTGCAGCTCTCCCAGGAGTCTGTCGAGAGAAATGCAGACAGCACATCTGTTCCCGGCTGTCTGTCGCCATCCTCTGTTGCATTCCTCCAAGTGCCCGTCCTCGCCTTGGGCTTGTCACGGGAACCTTAAACAGATTGTCAACATGCTCTTGGGATATTTTGTCCCCTTCTCTAGGAGAGGACAGCAAAAGCAGGATAGTGTCCTTGGGAGCAGCGTGCTTTGCCCGGGTTGGGCTCAGGCTTTGGCATCCTTCCGTGCATGTTCTGCGCTGCGGTGGTGACTGTGCCCTCTGCCGCACCTCTGTGGATGGGGCTTGGCTCGTCCAAGCAGTGTGGCCTGATGTCAGTCACCTGTCCTTAGGGAGCGGTGCTGCGTGGGTGTTACTGCTGGGGTGGACACCGGTTGGTCTCTTGCCTGCTGGCGGAGATTGCTGCTGAGCACGGTTGGCAGCTCAGCCAGGGTCACAGAGGCACTTACGCAAGCTTCCTTGTCAAGTGAGCTGAAAGGCACTCGTGTTTCAAAGCACTCACAATTCTGTCCTGCTAGGTGAACTCGAGGTAAACAAGAGCAACCTCTTTGACCTGTGCCCGGAAAGTTTGAATGACTGAACAAGAGGAGAAAATAAAATTGGTACAGACCAGCCTGACCTTGAAAGCTCTACCCTGAAATCTAGCTGTGCCTCCAGTACATCCAGAGGGCTGTAAATCCAAAGAGAAAATGTTCCTTCGCAAGAACTTCTTGATTATCCTGTAAAATATGGTTTTAACTTCATTTATATTTGTATCCCTTCAATTACTTGAAAGAATTTAAAGTAGCCTGGCTTCCAGAGGCACTTGCATTAAAAAAAAAATAAAAAAATCCAGAAGTTGGAATCATGCTCACTTTATTGTTTGTGTACATCTTTACTCCCATTTCCAAGAATTGCATCTCATATCCAATTTCTTTTTGCAGTTTTGTTCAGTGGAGGGACTGCTGTATGTCAGCCATGCTAAAGGGCAAGTGATGGAGGCAAGTATTAGTTTATATATTCATAGTTATCTAATGCTGTTTTTGCCAGTTTCTTCTTTTTAACTGCTTTGTTTTCCACTGCTGCTGTGAAATAATTGCACAAATGAAGGTCTATATGAGCATGTTCTGGGAAGTGGTAATGTTACAACATCTGCTCAGTGTGACTGTGTATATAGAATTAATAATTTTGTTCCTGATATTCTGTGTTCTCATACAAATCGGAAATGTATATTCCTGAGCTTCATGGTATAAGGTTCTCCATTTCCTTCCTCAAACAGAATATAAAGACTTTTATAAGTGGAAAAAGCAAGCACAAAACTTGAATCCTAGTGGTTAATATAAATAAATGAGTTAATTTATTCTGCTGATTCACAGTTCACGAGTAAAACAAATCTATTTCTGCAAAACTAGGTACTAGTACAAATAAGTAGTTTTAAGTATCTTCGTACCAAAAGTGTGGTTTGAAAAATTCTTATCAGGCTCGTAACAGATTTATCATATGGAATTATGCACAGATGACCACAAAGCTCCTATAGGAGCATTTTAAAGATACAAGTCAGTGTAATTTCAGAAATCAGTCACAGTAGTGACTTGCTTGTGAATTAACTAGGCTGATTTGTTTCAGGTGAGCTTGTAAATTGAAGCAGGACTAATTTAAGCAGCTAGTGGATTCCAGCAGATAATGAATGTCTGGAACTCCAGTTAGACTGAAATGATGTTATTTTAGATCAACATTATTATCATCGGTAATTTGGATACACAACACAAAGTAGGTGGTAAAGATGCTGGTTAGGGAATATATTGGGCATTTTTGTACTGATCTACAGCTCTCCAGTGAGTCCTGACTGAAAAACAAATGCTGAGGGAATTAGTTAAAATGAAAAAGGCAGTTATGGGTCAACTGTCAAGTTCGTATTTTATATACCAAATAATGTTGGGACTCCTGATTTTTGGCCAATAAGGTTTTTTCAATAAACTGTTTTTGTCTTTTGTATGAAAAGGAAAATTGAGTTTTGCCTTTTTTTCCTCAAAATGTAAATTGAGTAGGAACCTGCAATTCAGCTTTCTGAGAAACTGTTTAATTAGAAAAAAAGTAAAAGCAATGTTAAGAAATAAAGATATAGCTTAAAAGTCCAAGGATGATAATGATAAAGACATTTCAACGAAGTTTTGAGTATATTTAAAATAATAATAATTGGTTTGATTCTGCCATATTTTCTGTGTGAGTATGGATAGATATTTTTTTTCTGGGATGTGGTTTATTACTTTATTACTTAGTGGGTTATTGATTAAACTGGCAATATATTTTATCTCAATGATTGTTTCCAAAGTATTCAGCTAATATACGGTATGATTTTAGTGTTACACTTTCCATAAGTACTGAATTTCATCTTGCCTCCAGCTTATAGCAATGACATTTGAGGAAAAAAAAAAAGGGGGGGGGGGAGTGTGAGGCAGCTCTTTTGATATTTTTGGATGCCAGCTTGGAAAGCAGTTTTGGAATATCTGTAACCCATTGGTCAGGTTTCAGATGCACAAAATTGAGAGCTCTCTTAATTGTAACTTCAATGCATTATGTTTCTGCAGCTGTTTTAAGTTAAAATGAATGCTCTCAAATCCTAAACACGTTGCATTTCAAATAAAATGGTTTTTAAGGCACAGGCTGCCTTTTGCCAAGATTGAGGTTGACCTCTCTGGTCTGGTTTCTATATTTATAGAAACCTAATCAAAGCATTTTCCTGCAAGAAAACAATGATCAGCTTCCGAGCATGTGATCTCATGGTGCTGATGTGAAACTCTTTCAGATACTGCGTCCTTCCTTCCTTCCTCATTCCTTTGCTGTTCTTCTCCAGTAGTGTGTTCTCAGTTGCAGTGTAGTATAACCAACTGCTGTCAAAACCCAGCTGATATGAGAGGCGAGGTTGAGATCTTCTGGAGAAAAGCTGTTGTTTTTTTTCTTATGTCAGAGGCTGAGCTACACATGCATGGTGCTGCTCCCTCCCCCCGTTCAGATGGGTTACTTAATCTGCTTTTTAAGTCATTTTTGTTTTCTCTGAGAATTTTGAACAAGACTATGCCAATTGAAGTCATTTCACTTGCCTGTTCCTGCATGAAGACAAACTTTCATATCTGGTTTCCAGTGCCATCAGTAGATGCTGGCCGTAATAAGGCATATCTTAATGCTTGGAGATGCATAACTGTTTTCTTGCGAATATTAAGTATAGTCAAGTTAGGCACTCTTCAGGAAAATCAGGTAGGCAGAGCAGACATTACATTTGAAGCATGAAAGATCAGATCTTTGGTAAGGATCAAAATTAATTCTGACGAAAAGACTAATGTGCTCTATAGAGATATTTAACCTCATGTTCTGTTAGATATTCTGGGCTTTGTTCTTAACAAACAACAAAAAAAAACTCTACTGGTTACTCCTTGCTTCTTCCCCCACCCCCCTTTTTGAACAACCCTTTTTTTTTTTTTTTTTTAACCTTTCTTGCTTCCTTTGTGCTGTGCTTCTTCCCTTAGGCAATAAATGAGTTGTCTCATACAAGCTTTGGCTTCTGCTTACAGCCTAGATGCAACTAATACAAGGATTGAGGAATGCTTGGAAAACTGATAAACTTTGTTTTGTTAGTGGCATGTTTTGTACATTGGATTTTTTAACCCACTACTTTCTGCATGGATTTATAATAATGGCTCTTTTGTTTAACATTAGATAAGCATGAGATCACCGTGGCACAGCTGCATGTATAGTCACTCTTGAAGCAATTGCACACCTAATTGGCTGACAATCTTGGCATTTTTAAAACAAACACAAGCCTTTTAAAGACAGGGGACATATTTATGTATGAATAGTCAAATAAACCTGTTGGGTGTCATCAATGGAGCCCTCTGGCAGTGAACAGTTCTGTGATGACCCTGATCCTGGAGGCAAATCCCAAGATCAAGAGACCAAAAAACAGCATGAATCAGAGCAGAAATTATCCAAAATAACCCATAATGCTTTGGAGAACATTAATGTGATTGGTCAAGGCTTGAAGCACCTTTTCCAGCATCAGCGCAGGAGGTCGTCTGTTTCTCCACATGATGTTCAGCAAGCTCAGGCTGATCTGGAGGCTGACATGGAATTGGAAAGCCAAAGCTCCTGTGCTGAAATTGATGGTGTCTCCACCCACCCCACAGCTCTGAACCGAGTGCTTCAGCAGATCAGAGTGCCACCTAAAATGAAGAGAGGGACAAGCCTGCACAGCAGGCGGGGCAAGACGGATCCTCCAAAAGGAAGTCCACAGATCAACAGGAGGTCTGCCCAAGATATGCAGTCAGGTCGGCCCAGATCATCATCTACTACAGATGCTCCCACGAACTTGTCTGTGATGGAGATTGCTTCTTCCCTCTATGTAGGTGGAGAGGAGGCCACAGCAGCAGCAGTAAGTTACTCAGATTTACCTTTGGTCTTTATCATCTCCTTGTATGTTTTCTTAAGACTTCTGGATCTTGTTTTTAAAAGCAAGTCTTTCAGCAAATGCTAATGCTACTGTGTTCAAAATCTTATGTGATGAAGCAAAGAGCTAAAAGATGCATTAGTCATTTTCTCACATGGCAGGTGGCTTATTTGGTATGTATTTGATCACTGAAATAAGAACTACTTTTGAAGCATGTTAGGTTGATCAGATGGCACATCACCATCAAGCAGAGGATGTTGGGAAGAGCACCAGCCAGATTAGTCCTTGTTAGCAGCTGTTACTTATTTCCTGCAACAAAAATTTGTACTTGTATGTCTCTCTTTTTCCCTTCTTGTTATATTGTGCATTTTATAAAAAGTGAGGAATTCCAGTTTGAGCGAATGGAGCTGTTTTTTGAAGAAAAGGAGCTGCGGAGGCTTTCTCCCCTCCTTCCTTAAAAGTGAAAGGAGGAGAATGAAGTCTGAAAGACTTTAAATGCATGTGAGGAAAAAGACTGCTCTGGGCACTAAACTTCTGAGAGATCTCCATAACCAGATGTGCGTCTGTAGAGGTTAATGAATTACCGGCTCCTTTTTAGTATTTTTCTGGTGGTCAATGAAGATGATGTATTCTACAGGTCTAAAGTGATACAAGCAAGGAAAAGCTGCCTTGCTTTGGGTAAATGCACCTTTGCTTGATGCACTTAGTCACATGGTCTAAACTTTTGGGCAGACCTGTGCGGTGCTAGGAGTTGGACTTGGTGATCCTTATGGGTCCCTTCCAGCTCGGGATATTCTATGATTCTATGATTTCAGTCTGGTGAAGAACCTTTGTGTAGCGTTCATGCCTGAACTGATCCAAATTTAGGTTTTGTCCTAGGGCATTTTCCTTTGCGATAACAAACTGATGGAAATAGTGGGGAGAAAAGGGGTCACAGTGAGGCTGTTGGAGCAACAAACTAACATCTCTGCGCTGCATCTGGAGCACGGTCCATGGACTGTGACCGTAAGGTTTTCAGCAGAACAAGTGTCATCAGTGGCCGAATGGAAATTAACCTTCTAAAAATCTTTGGAAAATCTGATGTACTTGGAGTTTTTAAATGCAACTTGCTTGCTTATAAACCAATATTGCAAGAAAGTGGCAGCTGCAATCTCTATGTATATGAGCAAGGGAGGTGTTCAGCTGTTTTGGCAGTGTTCATGTTTTCCTTTGTATCTCAGTGGTAAGTACGTGCAGCGTGAGGACCTTTTGATGCAAAGCTGAGGGAAGCTGTGGGAAGGAAGTTAGTGCACTTCAGGATAGCACCTCTATCCCATGATCCAGAGAACGCATGCTGCCTTGGGACTCAGTACCTCATCCTCCTGAAGCAGAGTCCTCCACTTGCTATGCTGTAATTTGGATTGCTTCCTAACACATTCTGAAAAATATGGTTATTATTATTTTTTGTATTATCTTATTCTGGAGTGCCACAGATTCCTTGTTAGGCTTCAGTCTTTCTTTTCTAGGAGCTTCCTTTCTCCAGCCTGTTTATTTCATGTGGCAGGGTCAGCTTTCAGCTGTCCCCTGATTATATACACCTATGCTTTCCTTTTCATGCTTATAACCTCATCACATCCCCCACACTAAATACACTACCAGGAAGCTTAGGAGGTTAATCTCCTCAAAGTATTGTTTCATTAACCCAAGAGGGGTTTTTTTGGTTGGTTTATGTTATTTATTATCTCCCCACACTTCATGTGTGTGTGGATACTGCAAAGTTTTGGAGAGAGGAGTATTTCTTATTTGCTTTGCAAATACATCCCCTTGAACACAGACAGGACTCAGTGAGGTAGCAAGTTCCTTGGGTTATCAGGTCAGACTGAAGCATTTACTGTGTTATCACCTTTGGTTCAACTGAACGGGCAGTTCAATTGCCTTTGTAGCATTTTGATGTAATTTAGAAGAGATTCTCTTACCATGCAAACAAAAGCGTAATAAAATCTGTTCCATATCTTTGCAGCACTAGTTTCCGAGAAGAACAAGGTTAAATCTGGGGCCAGCTGTTCAGGTTTTTATCAAGAGTTGGGATAGTCTGATAGAGAACAAAGAAGAGGTTTATTTCAGATAAACTTTAAAAGATATTTTAACTTTGTTTTCAAATAGATTGCTGTTCTAAGTGTGAACTCATGCTTACATGGCTCTCCAGAATGAGTACTGGGTGAGCCCAATCCTGTGTGATGCTGAGATCCTCTGCTCCCAGTGGGAATTAAGGACACTGAATGCTTGTGGCATAAGGGAAAGTAAATTCTTAGTAATCCTCTCCACACAAAGTATTTTTAGCTCAGTGTTCTCTTCTCAGTTCTTTTGATATTTGTTGAAATAGAAGGGCAAAATGTTATCCCAAAACCAAGGATTGGATTTGTTTGGGCACCTCATTTGCATACATCTGCATATGTAATAATCCTGCTGCTTGTTGTCAGGCTTTGTAAAGAAAATGAGAAATGAGACTGGCATGGCATGGAAAATAATGTAATAATTAAAGTCTTACTGAGACATTTCATTTGGTCTTGTATTTCAAGCACTGTAAATTTAAATATCTTTGCATAAATCTCCTTGTAAAGGTTCTCAGCTCACTGAGCTGAGAAATCAGGATTTTGGTGGTTTGGAAATGATTGAGATTGCATGGGTGTCGTCTTGTTTCACCGTACTTTCAGAGCTGTTTGTTGGGTAACAAGTTACATGACCAAACACGAACAAACAGAATGGTATTCAGGTTCCAGAGATACAAAAGTAGCAGTAGTAGTTTGGTGAGAAGTTGTGTCCACTTGGACTTTATCAGTGTCATGAAGGTGAAGACAATGCTCAGCCATTGTTTTGTTGTGCAGCCAATGTCTCTGAAACTGGTTCTGGCTCTTGCTGCCCGAAGGGTGACACTTGCTTTGAGAGAGACACGGACTTCTGCATGATGTTCTTCATCTGCTTAGCCTCACAGCTAGCAAAAAGCAAATGGGAGTGAACAGTCAACAACAAAGGCAAATTTTACTCTGAAGTCCTACCATAATTTTGGTAGGAGTAGAAGTACTTTGGGCACTTTCAGATGACAACTATACATGCGCTGCTGGGTGGCCTCTGTGCAGATGGTGCTGTTCAGAGCTGAGCAAGTCTTGCCCTCAGAGCACTGGTGAAGTAGTAGCATCCAGTTCCTCTGCCTCCCTGCCCCTCCACCCTTGGTGAGTTCTCTTCCTGTTTAATGTTCGAAATGTTGACACTGTATCTGGATAACAAATATATTCTACCAGTCATCTTTTTGTTAGGTTTGATTAACTGTGTGTAGCAGAAGTATAGTAAACAGCCAGTAGATGATCAAATAGGTAGCAGTGGGATGTGGGAGAAGTATCAGAGAAACAAAATTATTAAGAGGTTAAAATGACTTAACAGAAAAGTGGAGGAAATTTTAGTCTTTAATTCAACGAAGTCTAAGAGACCGATACACTTGTAGAAACATTCTTCTGTAGACATCCAAACATGAATAATGAAGCCTTTTGACGTTGTTAGGGTTATGGGGAAAGCAAAACAAAACAAAAACAATCTTATTGAAATAGAAATTCTTAAAAATATACAACACACAGTTTTTGTTTTACCCACTGAGATCCTTATCTGGGGGTGCTTGTATTCTTAACCTCTAAGCATTGGTGTTAGGGAAAGATTGTGAGGTCAGTCAGTTTATTCTTTCAGGAAGTAAGGTTTTCTATACAGTGAGTTGTTTTGGAATGGTGGAAGTCCTTAGCTGATACATTCTGGTGTTGCTGGGAAGATAGACTGACCTGACTTCATTTAGCATCAAATTGCTCAGTGGAATTTACAGATTTTGTTTCTATAGGCCTGAACTCTTCCAGGTTAGAGTTTCCTTGCCTCATGGTTACAGAAGTAATGGCAAAAAAGGTTGAACCAATATTGAAAATGTAATACTTGATCTCCTCAAATTGAAATGATGCCCTGGGGTCTGAACAGCTGGAAAGCAGCTCTGCAGAAAAGGACCTGGGGATCCTGGCAGACACCAAGCTGAACCTGGGGCAGCAGCGTGTCCTTGCCGCAAAGAAGGCTCGTGTCATCCTGGGCTGCAGCAGGCAAAGTATCGGCAGCAGGTCGAGGGATGTGAGCCTGCCCCTCTGCTCAGCACTGGTGAGGCCACAGCGGGAGTGTTGGGTCCAGTTCTGGGCTCCCCAGGACAAGAGAGACGTGGACATGCTGGAGAGAGTCTGTCAAAGGGCCCCAAAGGTGGTGAAGGGTCTGTAGTACCTCACGTGTGAGGAAGTGCTGAGAAAGCCGGGACTGCTCAGCCCAGAGAAGACGAGGCTCAGGGGGATCTCCTCCATGCCCATTATCACCTGAAGGCAGGGCGCAAGGAGGACAGCCGGGCTCTTCTCAGTGGTGCCTGGCACCAGGACAAGAGGCAGTCAGCACAAACTGGAGCTCAGGAGGATCCCCCTGAACATCAGGAAATACTTTTTCCTGGTGTGGGTGATGGAGCAGTGGGTCAGGTCACCTGGAGAAGCTGTGGGCTCTCCCTCTTTGCAGATCTTCAGAAACCCCCGGGATGAGGGCCTGGCTGCCCTGCTCAGGGTGGCCTTGCAGGGGCAGGGGAGGAGCAGGGGTACCAGGGGTCCCTGCCCACCTCCTCTGGGACTCTGTGATACAGAGTTAAGGCTCCTGCTTATTAGGTGTTAAAGATCACTGAAATTTTTAACAGTTTTGCTGGAAAGGAATTGCTGAAGATAAAAAATGAAGTAAACCCTGAAAACAGCAACTTCAAAGGTTGTCAGTGCTCGTGCCAGCACTTTAATTTGCATTCCTTTAGTGAGATACCCATATGGCAGCTTTCCAAGGCACCATTCACTTAGTTCTGCTGTGTTCTCATGGAACTTTGTGTCCTCATCCTGTTTTCTGTTTTGGTCATCAGTTTTTGTAAATATTTCAGATATCTTTAGATATTGTTTATCAACTTA